TCCCAGAATGAGCACAACACAGAGAACCCCTGGCTGATACGCAATGAGCATGTGACATAGGAAGAAATAAACCTTGTTGTCTTAAGCCACTAAGATTTGAGAGGTATTACTGCAGTATAATCTAATCCTTACACCCCCACTCTTGTATGGTCAGAAAGCAAGCTGACAAAACTGCTCAGCCATAGAAAGAGGCCATTATTCTCCAAAGGCAACTTCAGATGTGGCCAAGGATAATAAAAATGAAAGGACCTCTTACAGGCAAAGCCAAGGACCATGTAGAACTATGCTCTAGGGCATGTGCCAGAACACAAACTGTTTGTTACTGGTTTACCATAATGAGATAAACAGAGAAATTGAGTGCAAATGTTCAAAAGCTTTTATAGCAATTTCACATAGTAATTTTGTGTCTGTTGAACCTAATAATTTTTAAATTGGGCTTGTCATTTGATATATTTTGTCATTTCATTTTTCTTATAATTCATTTTTATCATGTTGAACAAAAATTCAAAGTAGATTGAAATTTTTAAAAAAACCAAACTGGTGGGCCAACCCATGCCCTATGTGCACTCCACTTTGGTGGCCGAGGTTTGGCTCCTGGGTGTGGACCTACACCACTTGTCAGCACCCATGCTGTGGCAGCAACCCACATACAAAATTGAGGAAGACTGGCACAGATGTTAGCTCAGGGTGAATCTTCCTCAGCAAAAAAAAAATTTAAAAAAAATATCAAACTGGTCATTCATCAGAGAGAGTTTGAGAACCACTGGCCTAGAGAACAAAGGGAACAGAACTCGAGTCCTAACAAATTTGCCAGCAAGATTTCAAAATTGCTAGTCTTGAGTCTGACATGTGCCTTCCATTCTTCTCTCCAAATGGAAATAGTTATCATAGCTATCTGTCCCTACACTACCCTCTGTCTTCAACTGATAGAGATTACCAGAGGTTACTGCTACTATGCCTTACTCACCAGATCCTGGACTTTGAGTTTGACATGGTGACTCAATGAGATTTTGGGGTTATCGCCACTGGGAAGGGCCGAGGATGAACTACACGTAGGAAGGAGAATATTTGTTGACAAAAAGGGTGACCTGTTCAAATGTTTCTAGCTGTCTTACACGTGTTAAAATTATACTTCCCCACTTCCTTGAGTTAGGTATGGTCATGATTTGATTTGGTCAATGAAATGTAGGAAGTGATATATGTAACTTCTGGAAGGTTTCAAGAGTCAATATGTATGTGTCAGGAAGCACGACAGTTTTCTTCTGCTATGACGACTGATACTCAAAATGAGGCCTTTTCTGTAGAACCAAGTCTCAGAAAGAGGAGAAGTGGGGCAAAGCTCCCAGCTGACCCAGTATGAACACAAAATAAAAGTTGTTGTTTTAAACGTCTGAAAATTTGGGGTTGTTATTACAGTATAACCCAACCTAGCCCTACTGGTTTTAGCAATAGCCAAGAGTGACTTGAACATAAATAGATATCCTAGGTTTTGAAGAAGTATATTTCAAAGAATTCAGAGGGAATTGACCCAAGTGCACTGTAGGAAGATTCTAAAAGGGAAGATGACTCTTTAAAATGTAACTGACTGTTACCACAAGAGGTCTGAACACCAAAAGAAGGAAGCCATAGACAAATGCTCACCGATACCACACACATACACCTCCCAACTACCTGCAGACTCTTACCCTTTGGGCCTGGAAGGGGCCCTCGATTCTTCAGTATAATGCTTCTGTCAGCATTAATCAGAGCTGATACACAAGATGTAACTTTTGCCTCATCCCTAAATTCTAAACCAGTATGTATGCACAGGTCATTTAAAAGTTGGAAAAAATGAGACATTTAACTACCGACAAATATAAGAGGGAGACAAGCATTTTAAGAATGGATCGATGAGGCTGTAGTACAAAAAGTGCTAAAGCTTGCAAATAAAACACTAAGGGAAACACAAGTTTGTTTCATTCGGCACCAGAATACTGAGAAAGCCCGAGAAGGCAATGAGGAAGAAGTGCTTCAAGAGAAAAACACTGATCTTCCTGCTAGTGAGGGGGGGGTGGGGGGCAAGGATTTGCCCTCAGGTGTTCCCAAGGCAAGTGGAGCCTAGAGCGTGGCTCTCTTCAGACAGAGCAATCCCATTTGGAGACTGGGTCCTGTATAGAATAATACTTGGCAAACAGTTCTGCTCTTAAATGTTTGAAAGACCTTTGTGCTACAGTGGTCTGCTCTCCCAGAACAACATTCAATCATTGTACATTTGAACACCTTTCAAATTTTAGAATATCTTGCAGCAAACTTTTCCAGAAGACCCTTGATTCGTTTCCCCTTTATAGGCCTAAATTTCCCTTATAATTAACCACAAAACTAATGGTTTGCCCCTCTCGAGAAAAAGAGGAAATTAACAACTATAAACATTAAACAAATTATACTAAGATCTATGGGCATCATTCTCTACTAAGATACATTTCATATTTTGCAAATGAGGCATATAATGCCTACAAAGTTTCTGTAAGAAGATTCTGTAAAAAAAATAGCTTACTTACAGTTTAATGCTGCTATTAGAGAACAAAATCTGCTCACTGAACCAGCCTCAAATAAAATGTTGATTAGATCTCACCACAGTTTATCTTTTAAGACCTAAAGGAGGCAATAAAAGGAATCAATATCTCTTTAGAACCCCTTCAAGCTGGGGCAAAATCTTCTCTCTCTAGCCCCTCACACACACAACCAAAAAAGGAGAAAAGAGGAGGCTCTCTGGACTTGCTATGACACTGGAATAAAAAGTCTCACAAGCAAAGACCTGAAAACTAGTATGGGCACTACCCACATGCTGTTCACTATCACTTTGAGTAGAAAATATATGAGAAAAAGAAAAAACCCTTCCTGGTGAAAATCTATTCATGACCTGAAACTTGCACCTCATTGATCACGGAAGACACAAAAATAGGCCATGGCAGAGAACAGGAGGTTCCCTTGATTATGACAAGTGCCTACAATCACAGAACTCTGAGTTTACGCGTAATTGATGGCCCTAAGCATGTAACTGCAATCAATTAACCCACTGCTGCCATAAGCACACTGGTCGCTCTCAAGTAGAATTGTGTACTGCCCTAACCACCTTCTCCAAGGGTCCTTGAGGTGAATTTCTTAAATTCCAATAAACACAAGATCCTTCTCTAAAGGAGTGATATTGGGTTAGGCCTGTTAACTTCTTACAGCAAGTTGTACCCTACTCTATGCTGCTCTGCACACCTGCTCAGCTGAATGTGCCATCTGAGGAATAGCCACATAACAGTGCCAGGGCTAAATATCTAATACGGCTTGTCAGCACACCTATAAACAATCCAAAACACACCAGCATCTGGTGCCTGGGTGAACTACTGTCCCAGAATCTGGAGTACAAAACAGACTTTAGAGTTCCCTGTAGATCACTTACCTAGGACAGAAGGTAGCAACACTCTTTTAGGCAAAGCATTAGGGCAAAGGATGGTGAGTTAGGAAAGGCTGGGTCTTGGCTGCACCAGTAAATGCAACATAGTCTTTCACAGAGATACCAAATTTGTGATGAGCTGCTCATTCTAAGAACACAAATTATTTTCTCTTCATTTTGCACTACTTTGCTCATTTTATTACCAAACACCAAAAAATAAAGTCAACAAATATGTGTCAGTCCAACACACGCTGGGAGATCTATTTATTCCTCACTTATTTACAGCAGTAACATAATTGAGCATTTGTTTTGTCGCTCTCTGAACCCCAGGAACAGCGCCACCATCTACTACCTACAGGACGAAGGCTCGAAGGAATACGTGTGGAATTTAAGGAACACTGACTATTCTACTTCTTCCTCTCTAGACATTCACCAAAGACTTACAGTTCTGTTTCTGCCTTTTTCCCTAGACTTATGGCCAGAGCATCTTTCCAAAGTCTTAAGTTTCAAAGACCCACGTTCCCCCCACTCTCAGCGGCACGTACATCCATTCATCCTAGTACAACTCTTCCTTTAGAATATTTCCCGAGGGAGCAAAGAGTTTCACTTAGAGCTCCGACTTACCCTTCGCCTCATTCCATCCCCTTTCCCTACAAAGGGCTCATGTTTTCCCCGCCGCTCACGCTGGGAAATAGGAAGAAAGCAAAACGCCCCTCCGAAGGCTCTAGGTGAGGCCCGTTCTAAGCCCGACGTCAGAGCTCTGCGGTGCGGCCCTCGCCGGGGGAGAGCCGCCCGCTCCCAATCCCCGTCCCCGCACGCGGAAACCACAGCCCCTCGCCAGGGGGACCCGCGCTGTCAACCACCTGCTCCAGACCCGCGGGCCAGACCTGCAGGCAGGGCCCCGGCGGTCCCCCGGCGCGCCACCCGCGGCTCCCGCCACAGGAGGGGAGGGGAAAGGCGGCGCCGAGCCCACCTGCCAAGACGCAGCTGCCAGCACTCGGCCGGGCCGGCCTGTTGGTTAAGAGACAATCTCGAGGCTCCTCCCCCTCCTCGTGCTCCTTACGTGCGGCCTCTCCAACCAACCGAAGGCGCAGGCGGCAGAGCGGGAGCCGCCCCAGGTGACCAGCGACCGCCCAGTCCTCCCGCCGGCGCGAGCGGGCGTGCAGTCGCTGGACCAATCGGCAGCGTGGGCGGGGATGAGGGGGCGGGCAAAAGCGGGCGCAGCGGACGCCCAATCAGAGCTTGGGGCCCTCGAGCGACGGGGCCCGCGGCCCGTGGCCTTCCGAGCGCGGCGCGCGGGGGGCGTGCTCGCCTAGGCCAATCGGCGCGGGCCCACGGTGCGGAGCGAGCGCCTCAAATGCTCGGGTTTCTCAGCTGATTGTCTCCAGCCGAGAGTTGTTTTTGCAGCTACCCAGCCGAGCCTCAGCGCGAGAAATCGAGACCTCCCCCCTTCCCCCCCGGGAGGGCGGGGGACGGGGAGAGGAGGCGGGGTCCGGGCAGCCGCGGCCGCCCTGCGCGGGGCTCCGGTCCTGTCACGGCGCTTCCCGGGGTGGGAGGCTGGGGGGGTTGGGGGGTGGGGGGGAAATTCCTTCTCCCCTTCGACGGCGGCCCCGAGTCCGGCCCCTTCCTTCCCGCGCTCTCGCGCGCGCCCCCCGGCCCCCTCATGAGGGTGTCCGTGCCGGGTCCGGCGGCCGGCCGCGAGCCCCCGACGCCCGGCGGAGGCGGGGGCGCCGCGGGGCCCGGCTCGGTGCAGTTGGCGCTCAGCATCCTGCACGCCCTGCTCTACGCCGCGCTCTTCGCCTTTGCCTACCTGCAGCTGTGGCGGCTGCTCCTGTACCGCGAGCGGCGGCTGAGCCACCAGAGCCTCTGCCTCTTCCTCTGCCTCCTGTGGGCAGCGCTCAGGACCACCCTCTTCTCCGCCGCCTTCTCGCTCAGCGGCTCCCTGCCCCTGCTCCGGCCGCCCGCTCACCTGCGCTTCTTCCCGCACTGGCTGCTCTACTGCTTCCCCTCCTGTCTCCAGTTCTCCACGCTCTGTCTCCTCAACCTCTACCTGGCGGAGGTAAGGCGGGGGACCGGCCTGCGGGCCCGGCGGGGGCGCGGGGCCGCCGCGGTCACCTGGGCTGAGGACCGGAGGGGGCGAGCAGGGAGGGGCGGACCGAGACCAGCCTGGGGAGCTGAGGCACGCCTGGAGTGTGCGCCGGGGTTCTCGCCCTAAACTTGAGCAGCCGCTGGACTCGGTCCTGAGGGGCCCGGGGGGCGAGTGAGAGAGAGCTTTGTGACAACTTACAGCAGCAGGACCACCCTTTGTTCGGTGTGCTGGCCCTCTAAGGTAAGGTCTTGGTGGCACCAGCAAAGTAGCATCGCAGGAAGTAGCAGCTCGGTAGATGCGCCGAAGCTGGAGTGTGTGGAGAGGTTGGATGCTGGGTAGCAGCAGCTCTGCTGAAGCTGGACCGCTGCCAGCCATTACGTCACCAGCCAGAGCTGTTCTCTGCTATTGTTGCTGCGTTTCTTTTATTAGAAGCTTCTATTCCCTCCTGCATCTCCTTTCCTGTGGCTCGATAAGCCTCACACAAATTCCCTTCGATAGTCCCCAGCAGGGTTAATGATCAGTAACCAATGCCAAGGATCGATATGAAGACCTCTATAAAGCTCCTAGTGTTTGCCCTAGTTGCTTCATGCTTTGGCTGTTGATCCTACCTCTTACAGTCGAGTCTTTTTTGGGGGCTAATTAGGAGATACTTGCTTAACCTGTGCCTATTGCAGAAACAGACCACCAAACTGTTTTTGCAATAACTTGCTTAATAGCTGGAACCTAATCACACCCCCTTTCTCTCTCGTGGGGAATTGCTGGTTGGATTGCATTGTTCTGCAGCGCTTAGGTATTTGACCCGTTTCAGACAGGTTTGTCAATCACATGTGTCAACTAGTGGTAATTAAGCCACAAAATTTTGAGAATTGTCCAAAAAAAAAGTCCCACCCAGCGCAAAATAAAAAGCTTAAGGAAGGGAGGAAACAAGATGACATCATATGCTTTATACTGACTAATAGAGAACAGTATTGGTCTATGCGGCTAATCCTCTCAAAGGCTTTTTGAGATGATGAGAATTAACATACTTTATGAGCAAAAATAAAAAACCGGTTTTTTTCTGCATAAACCAATTCTTTTCTCCCTTAGTAGATAGGAAGTAGAATGCATAATTTTAAAATCAGTCATAACTTCAGCTTTTTAGCACACTAAAAACTACAGTTGAAAATAAGTAACAAAACTAATTTAACTTTCTTTTCCTTCCCCATCCTTTGGAAGTCCAAACAATACAATGACAAAAGCCCAAACAGTAAGAAGCAGAAGTAAAAAGCATTGGTAATCATAAATCAAATAATCATGCCATAGTTATGTCATTTATTTGATGATGTTTTGATCTTCTCTTTGTTGTTAAAGCTGTTGTAACGCTTCTGTCCTTTGTAGTTAAGCCAATACTTTGTATTCTTCCTGACACCATTTCTGATAGAATACCAGTGACCTCTCATCACTGAAGCTTTTCTCTAGCTTCAGATGTAGTTTACTGAAAGTGACTAGCAGTCCTTATCCCATGAGCATCTGATAATTTGTTTTTCCTCCTATACATTTTGACTTATAAAATCATATTAACAATTCACTGTAAAATAGTGGGCATTTTATACAGTAGCTGAACACTCTTTTTACTTGAGATATAAACCATAAAGTTCATAAATCTTAAGTGTACAGCTAGGTGAAATTTTCCATATGCATACGCGCATGGTACCACCCCCCAGATTAAGATATACAACACTTCCAGTGCCCCAGAAGTTTCCCTTGTGCCCTCTCCCAGTCATACCCCTCACCCTGAGGTGAACACAAAGTGGCTAAACACTGTCACAATAGAAAAAAGCATCTAAGTTTAAGCTCAAAATTCTAAAAGTATACTTCAGCATAAACTATACAATATGTAGATTGGGTTTTCAGACTTTTCCTTGCTGATATTCTAAGTTAGTGAGGAAGAATTTAAATGTCTAAAAGTCTTCCTGTTAAATGAATCCCTTGTTTGTGTCGTGTACTTTTTGAAAAGCAAAACACTCTTAACCTAGAAAATATAGTTTGGAAAGAAGCTGAACTAAAGCTTTTTCCTTTTGTAGTGTCTCCTAAAAGGGTGTGTGTTGTTTGTCTACGCTTGTCTTTTTATTATTTGTTTTATTGCAGTAACATTGGTTTACAACATTATATAAATTCAGGTGTACATCATTTCAATTTCTGTTTAGATGACGTCATGTACACCACTCAAAGACTGATTACAATCCATCACCACACACATGTACCTAATTACCCCTTTCACCCTCCTCCCTCCCGCTATGTCTCTATGTGGGTGTGTAGTGGTGTTTTTATTTTCTACTTATGAGTGAGATCATACGGAATTTGACTTTGTACCTCTGACTTATCTCACTTAGCATAATACCCTCAAGGTCCATGGGGTCGCAAATTGTCAGATTTCATCGTTTCTTATGGTTAAGTAGTATTCCATCGTGTATATACACCACATCTTCTTTATCCATTCACCCCTTAATGGGCACCTAGTTTAGTTCCAAGTCTTGGCTATTGTGAATAAGGCTGTGATGAACGTAGGGGTGCATGCATCTTTATGCATTTGTGTTTTTCTGTTCTTTGGATAAATACCCAGCAGTGGAATAGCCAGATCATGTGGTAGTTCTATTCTTAATTTTTTGAGGAATTTCCATACTGCTTTCCATAGTGGCTGCACCAGTTTGCACTCCCCCGAGCAGTGTATGAGGGTTCCCTTCTCTCACATCCTCTCCAACACTTGTTTCTTGTCGTCTTAATTATAGCCATGCTGATGGGAGTGAGGTGATATTTCATTGTAGTTTTGATTTGCATTTCCCTGATTGTTAATGATGTTGAAGATCTTTTCGTGTGCCTGTTAGCCATCTGTATATCTTTGGAGAATTGTCTGTTCAGATCTTTTGCCCCTTTTTTAATTGGGTTATTGGTTTTTTTGTTGTTGAGAAGTATGAGTTCTTTATATATTTTGGATATTAACCCCTTATCAGATATATGGCTTGCAAATATCTTCTCCCAGTTGTTAGGTTGTTTTTTCATCTTGTTGATGGTTTCCTTTGCTGTGCAGAAGCTTTTTAGTTTGATGTAGTCCTATTCGTTTTGTTGTTTCTCTTGCCTGGTAAGACATGATACTTGAAAATAAGCTGCTAAGATCAATATTGAAGGGTGTACTGCCTATGTTTTCTTCTAAAAGTTTCATGGTTTCAGATCTTACATTCAAATCTTTGCTCCATTTTGGGTTAATTTTGGTGTATGGTGTAAGATAACGGTCTACTTTGATTCTTTTGCATGTGGCTGTCCAGTTTTCCCAACACCATTTATTGAAGAGACTTTCCTTTCTCCATTGTATATTCTTGGCTCTTTTGTCAAAAATTAGCTGTTCCATGGATATATGGGTTTATTTCTGGGCTCTTGATTCTGTTCCATTGATCTGTGTGTCTGTTTTTCTGCCAGTACCATGCTGTTTTGGTTACTTTGGCTTTGTAGTATATTTTGAAATCAGGAAGTGTGATACCTCCAGCTTTGTTCTTTTTTCTCAGGATTCCTTTGGCTATTTGGGGTCTTTTGTTCCATATAAATTTTAGGATTCTTTGTTCTATTTCTGTGAAAAATGTTGATGGAGCTTTGATAGTGATTGCATTGAATCTGCAAATTGCCTTAGGAAGTGTGGACATTTTAACTATGTTAATTCTTCTAATCCAAGAGCATGGAATATCTTTCCATTTCTTTGTGTCTTCTGTTTCTTTCAACAATGTTTTATAGTTTTCAGTGTACAGATCTGTCATATCTTTGGTTAAGTTTACTCCTAGGCATTTTATTCTTTTTGTTGCAAGTATAAATGGGCTTGTATTCTTAATTTCTCTTTCTGCTGCTTCATTGTTAGTGTAGAGAAGCACAACTGATTTTTATATCTTGATTTTATATCCTGCAATTTTACCATACTCATTTATTATTTCTAAAAGTCTTTGTGGATTCTTTAGGGTTTTCTATATATAAAATCATGTAATTTGCAAATAGTGACAGTTTCACTTCTTATGCTCTATCTTGTCATATGCTTCCTCTGCATCTATTGAGATGATCATGTGATTTTTAGTCTTCTTTGTGTTAATGTGGGGTATCACGCTAATTGATTTGCAGATGTTGATCCATCCCTGCATCCCTGGAATAAATCCCACTTGATCGTGGTTTATGATCTTTTTAATGTATTATGTTCTGTTTGCTGGTATTTTGTTGAGGATTTTTGAGTTGACGTTCAAAAGTGATATTAACCTGTAATTTTCTTTTTGTGGTGTCCTTGTCTGGTTTTGGTATCAGGGTAATGTTGGCTTGATAGAATGAGGTAGGAAGCTTACCCTCCTCTTCAATTTTTTGGAAGACTTTGAGAAGGGTAGGTATTCTGTCTTCTTTGAATGTTTGGTAGAATTCACCAGGGAACTCGTCTGGTCCTGGACTTTTATCTTTTGGGAGATTTTTGATGGCTGTTTCAATCTCCTTACTGGTGATTGGTCTATTCAGATTCTCTATTTGTTCTTAGTTCAGTTTTGGGAGGTTATATGATTCTAAAAATTTATCCATTTCATCTAGATTATCCAATTTCTTGGCATATAGTTTTTCACAGTATTCTCTTATAATATTTTGTAGTTCTGAGGTGTCCGTTTTAATTTCCCCTTTCATTTCTGATTTTATTTATTTGAGACTTCTCCCTTTTTTTCTTGGTGAGTCTATCTAAAGGTTTGTCAATTTTGTTTATCTTTTCAACGAACCAGCTCTTAGTTTCATTGATTTTTTCTTTTTTTTTTTTTTTTTTTTTTTTTTTAGCCTCTACTCATTTATTTCCCTCCTTCTACTGATTTTGGGCTTTGTTCTTCTTTTCCCAGTTCCTTTAGGTGCACCATTACATAGTTTATTTGAGATTTTTCTTGTTTGTTGAGGTAGGCCTGGATTGCTATAAACTTCCCTCTTAGAACCACTTTTGCTGTATCCCATGGATTTGGTGTGTCATATTTTCATTTTCGTTTGTCTCTAGGTATTTTTTTTTATTTCTCCTTTGATTTCTTCATTGGCCCAATTGTTGTTCAGTAGCATTTTGTTTAATCTCCACATATTTATGGCTTTTCTGATTTTCTTCCTGTAGTTGATTTCTAGTTTCATACCATTGTGGTCAGAAAATATGCTTGATATTATTACAGTTGTCTTAAATTTATTGAGACTTGTTTTGTGGCCTAATATATGATCTATCCTGGAGAATGTTCCATGTGCAGTTGAAAAGAATGTGTATTCTGTGGATTTTCGATGGAATATACTGTATGTATCTACTAGGTCCGTCTGGTTAAATGTGTCATTTAAAGCCAATGTTTCCTTATTGATCTTCTGTTTGGATGATGTATCCGTTGGTGTAAGTGGACTGTTAAAGTCACCTACTATTATTGTGTTACTCTCTGTTTCGCCTTTTATGTCTGCTAATAATTGCTTTATATGTTTAGGTGCTCCTAGGTTGGGTGCATAGATATTTACAGGTGTTATATCCTCTTGTTGGATTGTTCCCTTTATCATTATATAGTGCCCTTTGTCTCTTGTTAGAGTTTTTGTTATAGAGTCTATTTTGTCCAATATAAGAATTGCTATCCCGGCTCTCTTTTCAATGACATTTGCACGGAGTCTCTTTTTCCACCCCTTCACTTTCAGTTTGTGAGCGTTTTTAGGTGAGTCTCTCTTCATCAAAGGACTGTGCACCTTTCTTTCTGGTGATTTTAGGTTGCTTTCCGAAATGGGTGAATTTGTGTGTAGGCCCTTTAAGAGCAGGCTTTTGTTCCCTTCTGTCTGATAACTCTTCTGGGTGTATTCTCTATTGTCCTTAGTAGCCAGCAAAGCCAGATATCATGACACTCGTCTCCGTTGTGCTTAGCCCAGCAGCTGCTTATAGTAATGATGCTCTCCCAGTCAGGTCCCTCACTCCTCCAGGGAATGCTGCATACCATAGGAATGCTCCCAGCTGGCTGTGAAGCACTGCAGCTTGGAAAGGTGGCTTTTTTTCCTCTCCAGAAAGGAATTTCTGCCTCTTCCACCTCAGTCAGCACTGTCCCTTGTTGCAGGGGTTCACTTTATCCAGTTTTCAGTTCTCTCGTGGGTAGTCACTCCAAGAGTAGTTGTTACTTTGTTGTATCCATGGGAGGAGGTGAGTTTGCAGTCCACCTATGCCACCATCTTGACAGCAACCTCATCCTTTTATAATTATATTAACAATTTTAAGACACATAACTGTACTTAAAAGAACAAATTTTCAACCCATTTAAAGAGAGATGTCTTAACGAGAAATCATTTCTCTATTCATTAGAAAAAATCCAGAGGAATCTGTATTTAAAAGAGGATTTGAATTCAAGTTTTTATATCACTTCCAAGTAACTGGAAGCATACTTCCTGCTGATGGTTCTCAGTTAACAAAGCTTTCCCAGTGAGTTCTTCGTATTATAGCAAAGTGGTAGGGAAAGTCTCTGTGGTGACCAATACAAACCTTAACTGACATTGGAGGTTTTTTTAACCTAAAGGCCTTAAATCTGTTTCTTGTGGGGTTTTTTGGTGAGGAAAATTGGTGCTGAGCTAACATCTATACCAGTCTTCCTCTCTTTTCTATGTGGGACACCGCCACAGCATGGCTGGATGAGCGGTGAGTAGGTCCGCACCTGTAATCCAAACCCGCAGACCCTGGGCTGCTGAAGTGGAGCACGCAAAATTAACCACTATGCCACCAGGCCAGCCCCCCATATATGTTTTAAATAGTTGTGCTTCTTAATTACCAAATCACTCTGTCTTTACTATCTGTCCTA